AGTTTCCGGGGGGGGGGGGGGGTCACCTGTCATGGAGAGTCCACGGAGCTCACGCCATGTTCTCCCATGTGACCCGAGGCCTAGGCAGCATTGATCACATGATCTCTGAGTATATCATCCGAGACCCGAGAGAGTCGGACAGAACCGGTCCTGCCGCAAGATAAGAGAGTCCGGGAAGGAAGCCGAGCCTGGCGCTCAGCAGACGCACACGATGGACCTTCCCGATCCTCCCGAGATGTGACACCAATCCCACCCAACAAATATGGTCCTAAAACCAGACCGTTCACTGTCCATAATGCCGCCCATACTTGTCTCTGTTGCCCAATCCAAACCCTCAACCAGCCATGGTCACTCCACGCCCTCCTCCAGCCATGGCCTCTCCACGCCCTCCACCAGTGATGGTCACTCCACGCCCTCCTCCAGCCATGGCCTCTCCACGCCCTCCACCAGTGATGGTCACTCCACACCCTCCTCCAGCCATGGCCTCTCCACGCCCTCCACCAGTGATGGTCACTCCACGCCCTCCTCCAGCCATGGCCTCTCCACGCCCTCCACCAGTGATGGTCACTCCACACCCTCCTCCAGCCATGGCCTCTCCACGCCCTCCACCAGTGATGGTCACTCCACGCCCTCCTCCAGCCATGGCCTCTCCACGCCCTCCACCAGTGATGGTCACTCCACGCCCTCCTCCAGCCATGGCCTCTCCACGCCCTCCACCAGTGATGGTCACTCCACGCCCTCCTCCAGCCATGGCCTCTCCACGCCCTCCACCAGTGATGGTCACTCCACACCCTCCTCCAGCCATGGCCTCTCCACGCCCTCCACCAGTGATGGTCACTCCACACCCTCCTCCAGCCATGGCCTCTCCACGCCCTCCACCAGTGATGGTCACTCCACACCCTCCTCCAGCCATGGCCTCTCCACGCCCTCCACCAGTGATGGTCACTCCACGCCCTCCTCCAGCCATGGCCTCTCCACGCCCTCCACCAGTGATGGTCACTCCACACCCTCCTCCAGCCATGGCCTCTCCACGCCCTCCACCAGTGATGGTCACTCCACACCCTCCTCCAGCCATGGCCTCTCCACGCCCTCCACCAGTGATGGTCACTCCACACCCTCCTCCAGCCATGGCCTCTCCACGCCCTCCACCAGTGATGGTCACTCCACACCCTCCTCCAGCCATGGCCTCTCCACGCCCTCCACCAGTGATGGTCACTCCACACCCTCCTCCAGCCATGGCCTCTCCACGCCCTCCACCAGTGATGGTCACTCCACACCCTCCTCCAGCCATGGCCTCTCCACGCCCTCCACCAGTGATGGTCACTCCACACCCTCCTCCAGCCATGGCCTCTCCACGCCCTCCACCAGTGATGGTCACTCCACACCCTCCTCCAGCCATGGCCTCTCCACGCCCTCCACCAGTGATGGTCACTCCACACCCTCCTCCAGCCATGGCCTCTCCACGCCCTCCACCAGTGATGGTCACTCCACACCCTCCTCCAGCCATGGCCTCTCCACGCCCTCCACCAGTGATGGTCACTCCACACCCTCCTCCAGCCATGGCCTCTCCACGCCCTCCACCAGTGATGGTCACTCCACACCCTCCTCCAGCCATGGCCTCTCCACGCCCTCCACCAGTGATGGTCACTCCACGCCCTCCTCCAGCCATGGCCTCTCCACGCCCTCCACCAGTGATGGTCACTCCACACCCTCCTCCAGCCATGGCCTCTCCACGCCCTCCACCAGTGATGGTCACTCCACGCCCTCCTCCAGCCATGGCCTCTACACACCCTCCACCAGTGATGGCCACTCCACACCCTCCTCCAGCCATGGCCACTGCACACCCTCCACCAGTGATGGCCTCTCCACACCCTCCACCAGCGATGGTCAGTCCACACCCTCCACCAGCGATGGCCATTCCACACCTTCTTCCAGCCATGGCCACTCCACGCCTTCCTCCAGCCATGGCCACTTCACGCCTTCCTCCAGCCATGGCCACTCCACGCCTTCCTCCAGCCATGGCCATTCCACGCCTTCCTCCAGCCATGGCCACTCCACGCCCTCCTCCAGCCATGGCCACTCCACGCCTTCCACCAGCGATGGCCACTCCACACCCTCCTCCAGCGATGGCCACTCCACACCCTCCTCCAGCGATGGCCACTAAACACACCCTCCACCAGCGATGGCCACTCCACACCCTCCTCCAGCCATGGCCACTCCACGCCCTCCACCAGCGATGGCCATTCCACGCCCTCCACCAATGATGGCCAC